TATATGTATATGTATATGTATATGTATATGTATATGTATATGTATATGTATATGTATATGTATATGTATATGTATATGTACATACGTACGTACGTACATACATACATACATACATACATACATACATACATAAAACCAAGACTAATCACACCAATTAAGTTGGTCCAACGTAGATGAGTAAAATCACTATGGCAAAGAGCTACACCTGCACATGTCCTAAATAGACAACTTGACATCGTCATTATATTATATTTTTCATTCATTATATTTTTAGACAACGACTACATATTGTATAACATGTTTTTCAGAAAAAAGATGGTAAAGCAAATTCTATCAAACCTTCAAACAAAAAAATGCTTCAGACTGCACAGGAGCTGTGGCTATTCGTGGGCATGCTTGCAAACACAGCAGGAGCAGCTTGCTAGGCAGCGGTGTGAACCAGGAAAAAGATGCAGCTGCTTCAGCATATTCAAAAATGATGCCTTGAACAAGCTTCTGTGTCTTGTAAAGCATCTCTTTCAAAGGATTTACACAGCCCTCTTGGCCAACATGGAAGACAGCTGCTGGAAGACAGCCATACTGTCCCCAGAAATGAGGAAAGGTAGAGCTCCATGGGACATCAATAAATGCAGCAATGTGAAAAGCAAAGCGCACACCACAGGAAAACAGTAGGCCCACAAGGGACACCTGACGGATAGAGAAACTCTCCTGATTCACACTTTGATCCTGTTCCGTGCGTAGGTAGCAAATCTTGAAGCACAAGTTAAATGCAAACATGTTTCTGTTTTTCTCCCACTTATGAAACTGTTCAAACAGAATAAAATCAGGGAGGAAAATACCTGGAATGCAATCAAACCCAGTAGAATATTATATCAAGGTAAAGATAAAGGTTTCCCATGTCCAACTCTATAGGGCAGTGCTCATCTCTGTTTCTTACTGAGTAGGCAGTGCTATCCAGAGACATTTCTGTGTTCATGTGATCAACATGACTATAGCTGGGGTTCACGGAATGCTGTTACCTTCCCACCAAAGTGGTACCTATTAATCTACTTGCATTTGCATGCTTTCGATCTGCTAGGTCAGGAGTGTCAAACTGGCAGCCTGCAGACCAGATGCATCACATGTGGGCCACACCCACCCCGGTTCTGCAAAGGCAAAAAACGTTGCAATACATCATGTGACATGATAGAGTTTGACACCCATGTGCTAGGTGGACAGGAACAGGGGTAAGGGACGGGAGTTCACACCATGTCAACTGACAAGCTCAGTGTCTTTAACCGCCAAGCTATCGCGCCCCCAAAGTACTATATACTGGATTGGAAAGAGTCAGGTTCCAATCTTCGTTACAGTGATACTCATTGGTTAACTTTATCCAATCACCTTCTCTCAATATAATCTACCTCAGAGAGTTTTGAGAGAGAACAAGGGAATGAAAGGAAGCATATAAAATACCTTAAGCTTCTGGAATAAAAGGCAGGATATAGATTCAATAAAAATAAAGAAAAACCACCAAAGCCAAGTCATTACAGTATGGATAGGCAACCAGATGTCCTCTACCCAATTTGGTCTTCAACTCCCCTATTTTCTAAGCAGCTTGCTGTATTTCATATGGGTGTTGATCTCCAACCATTAAGTTGTCTTATCCTACTATATGACAAGTTACTGGGACTTGTCACATTGTCTACATCAGTTAAGTATTGGTAATTTGTTTAGAGATATACATGATACCCACCCCCTTAAGGGACTACAGACCATTATGTAGCAAATATTCTTGCCAGCCTCTTCTGAAAACTGATTCATGCGCTAACTCTCACTTTTAAAACTTTGGGACACCTTTCCAACATTGAGGATTTTGCTAACCTTAAACCTCTTAGAACTTAATGAGATATGTGTCAAGTCTAGGAAACTTCAATGTGCCAGCTTAATGCTACACAAGACCAATTCAGGCTTTACTACAAAGGAAAAATTCATCACTTGACCTTTTATACAAAAGCTTTAGGAAGCAATCCATACCCAAGAAGGCAAAGTATTATCAATCATCAATGACAATTAAACACAAATATCACATGAGACAGATAAGACTTATTTAGCCCATTTAACTTTTTAAATAGCTCTTTATAGGGGTAAAGTTATTTGCCTTTGGCTTACAAAAAGGTGAAATGCAAACACAGAAGGCCATAGCACTTTCTCTTTCTCACATACACGTACACACAGTTTATCACCTCTGCAGAATGAATTAGGTACTTTTTTATTTATTTTTGCAAACCTGCACATAACTTTGCATCTCCAAATAAAGAATTTAAATTTTATTCGATTTTTTTAAAGGGAAAGGGGAAAAGTCACAGCAAAACCTATTTTAGTTCAAATGTTTGGAAACCAAGGCTGAGTATCACTTCAACTGCAGGAAATACACTTGAGGAAACAAATACACATTTCCACATTGGTAGGAAAGGATAGCACAACCCCTTAGCCTCCCTCCCTCATTAACAATTCATTTAGAAATCAAATTATTTAAATCATGAAGATTGTTCTGCTTCCTATCTTTAGCAATTCAGTAGCGTCACTGGCCAAGAGAACAACTGAATGATTTTGGTATAAAATCCAAATACTGACAGTGTGTAGTATATTTTCCTAGGGCTTCTTCCTCCATAACATTTTGTAATTACAGGACTGTAAATGGGAGAGGCACCTCTACTAAGCAGCAAAGATTGCAATACTATAAAAGCAATTGCTTAAGCAAAACAATCCAACCTACAAAGCTCAGCTCTTAGAGAGAAATGACTTACACCAAGGCCTTTCATTTTCATATATAATCACTGGGCTACTGACAAGGAAGTAACAAATAGCAAGTAGGTCTGGTATAGGTCTGGAAACCACCCTGGCAAGGTAAAAGCCTGACAATCTACCCCTCAGCCTTTTGACCCAATGCAACTTTCTCTGACCTCTGTGTCCCTTTGGTGCTAGGATAAACGTATTCATGAATTACTGGACCATAAACCCCGGTTGCTGGAATTACACCTTCATACAGTATTAAACTGCCAGGGTTTTCCCCCTTCCCATCTCACACTTTCTACTCAATCGCTCCATACTTGCATGCATGTGGTTCCCCACCCATGTTTGTTTTCCCAGGTAAGGCTGCAGGAGTTCTCCTAACCCCAATAATGCCCGATTGGATCCAAGGTGTCCTTTAAACCAAGGTTTCAGTTACCACCACACCCAATACAGATTCACAGGCAACCTGCCACTCACTTTTAAGGGCCACAATGAGTGCCTTTCCATCCTTGATCAGCTCCTTGATGAACTTGTTGGTCTTGTCCAGCTCAGCTTCGTGAGATTTTAGCCTTTCTCGGAACTGGGGGCTGTCCAAACAGCAGTCGCTAAACTCCAAGGCAGGTAGCCCCATGATTTCCCAGAGCCCGTCCAAAGCCAGGCTTACGGCTGAAAAGCAATCAGCTGGAAGAGAAACGTCCAGGAATGGAAAAACCTTTCCTTAAAGCACCTTAAATCGCAAGGGAAGAGCCACCGATCAACGTTGAGAAATGTATCCAGCCCGTCCAGCAAAATGCAAAAATAAAAATAAAATAAAATCATCCGTTTTTAGGCTGCACAGGATCCGCAGACATCAGGAAGTCAATTTGTCAACTTTCGAAGCGGACGAAAAAAGGGGTCTGAAGGACGAAGATCTTGCACCGAGGGCTGTTTCACACCCGCCAGGGGGACAGGACAGAAGCCGTCCGAAAGGAGGGAAACGGCGTTGCCCGAGCAGCAAACGCTACCGCTGCCAGAGGACCGCTGCTCGCGGCCACATTTTCCCAAACACGCTGCAAACTCGGGGGCGGTGCGGTCGTGGCTGTTGCCGGAACCTCCAGCTCTTCGCCGGGAATACGTTGCCGCTGCTTGCTTGCCGCAGCCTTGAAGAAAACCCACCCCGCGGGGCCTCTCGAAGCAGGAGTCTTCCGATCTCCAGCTCAGCACAGGCACCTCCGACGGCATCCGGGATCCACCGGGACCCTGCGCTTCCCCATTGGAACGCCAGCGATCATTTTCCTACCGCTCTGCCCTTTGGAACGTTGTGGAAAGAGAGAGGATCTTTTTTTTTTTTTTTTTGGTCCCTCCCCTGGGCCAGACGCGACCCCGCCTCTTGCACCAGCGGAAGCCAATCAGAGGCCGGACGGCTCATGGAGCAAGGAGGAGGGAAGCAAGAAAGATGCCCTGCGAAGACAAGACCGGCTATGACTGGGGGGGCGTGGGCGTGGCCAGAGGTATGTCAAACCGCATGGAACTTATATCCTCCCTTCCCGCCCTCTTAAAGACATACCCTCCGGAATTGGGGGGGGGGGAGTGGCGAAGGCTGGGTCGCTCAAGGGCGTTTCTGGTAAACCTGTTGCTGCAGTGCAGGCTGAAGAAGAAACCACCTTATAGCGAATCGGTGCAGCCGGGAGCTACGCTTGGAGGCGGAAAAGGAGGAAAGGGAGAAGATGCTCGCTCGGCGATCCTTTAAGAGGCTACAGTGAGGGATCACCTTCACGCTGGCCTTGGCACATAAGGGAGCAACGTTCTTTTCATAAAAGGGATCCTTTCCCTCCGCAAATGAGGTTTTCCCCTTTGCACCTTCTTCACAGCCTGCCTTGCTTGCCTGCCTTCGACGCACAGATTATGTTCAGTCTTTTACAGCATGCGACGCCTGCCTTTCTGCAGGGAAAATGAAATCAGCAGGATGACCTGCAGAGTGTCTTCCCCCTGTCTGTCCTCTGCTGATTTGAAAAGCTAGCCAGGAGACTAAGCTTGCTTAGCATTGGGTGGGANTTTCCCACCTTTTTATAGCCGTATATGTCAATCCCACCAGGTAGATCAGATCAAAAATCATCTGCACAAGGCGGCTAAAACTGCTTTTGAGAGTAACTATAATAACAGAACTTTGCAAGTTTGAATGTGCTGTGCCTCCTCACCGGGACCTGAGGAGGTTGAACGTAATCCATTTTTTTTCTCTTTGTTGCTTTCATAATGAATCTGGTGTATCATTGCGAGGGTCATCTTCTTTATTGTCTACAATGTCTGACTCCTTTTCTTAAACTGGCTCTATTTCTTCACCCGGTATCCTCTTATTACTTTCCTAAATTTTTTCTCTTTCTTTTTTAGGCTTAGTTTGGCCAGGAAACTTTTTCCTGAGGTCCACAACTAGTGGGTGGTTAGACCTGGATTTTGTCAATCCAACTCAGCCATGAACTTATCTGAGTGAACCGTAAGGAGCTACCAATTGTCAACCTAGACCAGGGTGGTCAAACTCCTAGCCCGTGAGCCGGATCCATCACATGCTAGCCACGCCTATGCCCGGCTTAGCAAAGAGGGGAAAAGTTCCAATATGTTACGTGATGCCACCATGATGTCATGACTTTTACACCCCTGATCTAGACCATTTTACAGAACCTCTGGGAAGGAGGGGGAGAAAGAGACAAAGAGAAAGAGAGAAAGTGTGTTATTTCAGAAAGCACAAAAAGTGTGATGCAGGTAGAGATTCATAAGTAAAACCCTTCCAAGTGGAAGAAAAATTTTAAAACCATTTTTAATTGACAAGTGCTTACTATACAACTACAAAAAAAGATGAAGACTGTTTTGACTTGTCATTTAGTACTGGAAGTAGAATCACACTAATTGATAGAAGATGGTAATCTGTTAGCTCATAGCATTACAGCCAAAATCAGATCTGTAATTCTTGGACAAACATCCCATGTGGCATTTTTTGGTAGAAGCCAAGCCAAGTTATTATTCTCCTTTTCAACACATTCCAAGCTGTTCAATGCACACAATGTGACATGCAATAAAGTTGTCAAATTGCAGATCCTTGAAGTAGCAGATTTTAAAAGATGATCAGTAGACACCAAATGCTGCATAAATGGGCATCTCTGAGCAAAGCAGCTTTGGCTAATTTCTTTAAACTGGTAACTTCTCCAAACTGATTTAGAAGTCCTTGAGAAAAATTATGCAATGTGTGTATGTGACTCAACATCTCTTTGACAAGGAGAAGCTTCAAAGCCTAGCTTACAATGTCTGACGTGGCCCTTAAACTGATCAAGTTTGTTTAAAAAAGCTCTTTCTTTGCTGTCGCTTGTCATATCCATTAATCTTAGACATCCACTATCCATATTTCATTTTGCATCTCACTTGAAGCTAGAGAGCTTTGCAAATTCTCCTAAATAATTTACACATGCCATTTTAAGCAAAAGAAGAGAAGGATACGTGCTGACAAAGAACAGGCCATTTGAAGTATCAAGGAAATGATAAATGGAAGAAAAATAAATGCAAAAAAAAAAAAGAATGTAAAGATGTTGCCACATGGCGTGTCCTTTATTCAAAAGTCTGTTTTTTATTATGAAACACTACAGCTTAATAAAGCATAATATCTCTTAATTCAAATGCAATTCCATGACTTTTTTAAATAAGCAAATTGTCTATTACATGTTAATCATGCTGAACTTCATTTTATTGGGAATTGGTTTGAACACAATCTTGGAAGAAAGCGGTTTAAGGAAAGTTGTTTATTATAGGCATTGACTTGAAAATATAATATTCCTTAGCCATTACATTTATATTAATTTGTTCTCAAAAAACATGGGCTTATAACAATATCAATTTGTTCTCAAAAGGTCCTTGGCTTATAACAATATATATTCATATTTCTTTTTATTTGTCAGATATGTTTTTCCTGTTACTGAAACATCCATTTTTATTATACTATATTTTGTTTTATGCACAATCAGCTCACAGAAATTCAAATGGCTACAGTTATTAATCTAACCACAATATCTTTTTTAGGCATACTGTAATGAGCAAACGCATGAGAGAATCAAGATATTTATTAATGCACTTAAACATTAAAAAAGTGTGATCATATTTGCTTTGTTCTCTTCACCATTTTATTTTATAAAAATATCATAATAACCATAGAACATAAAGTTCATTCAAGCCTGAATACACTGTATAGCAGCTGTTGGAAACAGAATTATGGTTCTGCTGTTTGATAATTGTTAATAAAAGTGTGAGGTAATTAATAATGACAGAAATGATCAAAGTAAAATTTACTATATATGTAATGGTCTTTTTCCAAACATAACTTCTTTCTGGAGTTTCATGCAACTTTCTCTAGATGAAACTAATTTGGGATGCTATGCTATCTGTGTGAGGATTAGGTCATGTCATCTCAAAAGTTGCATCAACCATAACTATCTACCCATTCTTGACCTTATCACAGGTCAGAACCTAAAGAAAGGAAATTCTGGGCATGCAAATTAAATAATAATCACCATTTAACTGATCAGATACTACCAGGAAAGTGGTTGTTACCTGATTTAAATTAGAATATTATATCCTTTGATTCTTGATTTTCACTCCCATACAAATACCCAAAGCTTCCCATCATCCCCACTATTTCCTGGCCATATTTGCCAAATTAAGAAGATCAATAAAAGATTTAGGAAGAATACTCCCTGAATGTCACCCTAAGTAAGAAAGTATTTATTCAAACGTATTCTAATGAGAAGAATTACAATTCAGCACATGCTTATAACATTGTTAAAGGTCCAAACTCATCTGCCAAAAAGGGTAGCTTTATATACTGTTACTATGTCTAATTATGAAAGGAATTCTGTATATTACAGCTTATCTGACAGTAAAATCCTCATTTTAAATCAGTTTTAAATGGGGAAAATGATAAAGGTTGCTGTTATAACTAGTCACAATCTGGCAAAATTGTGGACAACTATTCTCTGTTCAAAAAATATCAAAGGACAAGTTCAAAGGAGATTCTGATTAGTACCTCCATGAAGGGATTTCAAAGTCCAGTATGACCCATAGGTGAGAAGAAGGGTCATATATGAAAATTCACAGCTACAGCTGCACACGCCTGAGAAATCTTGTAACTGCAACCCCAAGATATACAAGCCACGAATAGTCCAGCCAGCTGCCTTCATTTGGGATGAGCAATGCAATGCATGTAAATGGAGATAAAAATAAGTTAAGGCATGCAACCCTCTCAAGCTGGTGGGAAGTGGGAAGGCAGTATCATATCACGTGGCAGCATCTTGGTATCTGTCAACACAACATTTTGTCCCAAAGGAACCCCAGCTGAGAGGGAAGAAAGATTCATGGAGTACAGTTAGACAGGGTCCAGAACAAAAAGGTTCAAATGAAATTGAAAACAAAGTTGCTTCCCAAGAAACTTAGATGGTATAAGAGAACTGCTGAGCTGCCAAGCCATTCTCTGAAGAGTGACTCATGGCAATGGTATTTCTCACACCACTTCTCCAACTCCAGCCATCCACCTGCCCCTTATCTTCTCAGATCAGTGTTTCTCAACCTTGGCAGCCTGAAGATGTGTGAACTTCAACTCCCAGAGTTCCCTGGCCAGCATAATTCTCCAGCCAACTTTGAGAGTTGAAGTTCACACATCTTCAAACTGCCATGGTTGGGAGTGTTCTGGATTTTCAAATTGAAGCATTATCCATTTTTGCCAGATTAAAAAAAAAAATGCATGGGCAATATTTTCATGACCAACTCGCTCATGATGGCTGACATTCCAAAATAATAAGGCCATCTAGCCACAGTACTTCTCAGATGGAAATGTGCAATCCAATCTCAAAGTATCCCATTCCAAAAATGAGACTTTGCAAGGTCAGAACGTTTCAGCCTCAAAATATGTTGACCACATCTATTATTTTTAATCTGGCANAAGCCTCCCCCACTCCTCTCTGGGCCTGATTCGCCTGCATCTCAAACCCCCAAATCTCTTGACTTCCATGGAAACATCACCAGGGAGATACCCCTGGGCCTCCCCCTCCTCTCTTCCACTGATCTGGCAGAAAGGGGGGGGGGTCCATCAAAGGCTGGAGAGGGGGCAGCTGTACTCTTCAGGGCCAAGATAGCCCCCTCCCCACATACACACCCCAGCCAAAAAAAGAGCCCCCAGATCCTGGACTTTATTCACCCCCAAAGCCAAGAGGACCTGCAAAGAGATCTTTGGAGGTGGGAGTGGGGGAAAAAAAGGGGGAGGGTCTAAATACTT